TTTGCACACTGCCCGAAATACGTCTGGTCCCTGGAAGCAGTTTGACCAGTGGTGGTCGGGTTCCCTTCGCGGAAGAGTTATCTGATCTTGCCTTCTGATATCGCCACGCTACTGGCCTAACCAAGTTCATTTAGAAGTTAATTACTTGTCTGAAACATCTGGATTGAACTATTTTATTTTTCTTAATTTTCGTATTCAAAGTGAACTACTATATCAATATTACATCAGGAAACTGCGTATATTTTTGAACATTCTCATTCTACTCAGTTTTTTCTTGTTTGTTTTTTTTTTTATAAGAAAAACAGTGAATCTTCTTCAATGTCGCGTGTTTTGAGACTGGACTACTGATCGAGTTAAAACGTGCTCAACAATAAAAGAGAAACTTCACATGAAATCCGCCGATGCCCTTGAGGAAGTAATCCTCCGAGATGTATGTTCACGATAAGATCTTAAGGACTTTTCCAAGACCTTGAAAGACTTATATATTCCCGTAATCGTTTCGTGAATACATAAATAGAGGGATTTATTGTGACCTTCCCACAATGTTTTACCTACATTAATCTATATATATAGAAATAGAAAATCATCTTTATTCTGGGACTAGGTCTCTTAAGAATAACAATATTGTTTAAACCAATTGACAGTCAAATCAGGCCAGATGACCTATTATAGTAAAGATGAACTACAATCTAAGTAATAAAATGAGTATATACATAGTTTTGGAGGGTATATTAAGGAGAGCAGGTGGGTACAAGGGTTACAATATAATAATATTGGTACAAAAAACAACAACATACTAATAACTAAATAAAATTGGAAAGAAATGCTAAATAAGTTTTATAGGGTAACCAATTTTAGTTCTACAGTATAATAAAACAATGAAAGAAAATAACTAGAGTAAATAAATGATTTATGTATGTTTCTTAAGACGTTTAAGTGAAAACATGTGAAGATATTGTGAAAAAGTAGACGCAATACATTACGAACAGAAAAAGCAAAACCAAATATATCCATATATATATAGAGAGAGAGGAGAGTGCAGAAAATAAGTAAAAAATACAATTCTTTTAAATTAAATAAAATACACTTCAAAAAAATACAATCTTATGAATAGAAAAGATAAAAGGTAACAAAAACAATAAAAAATTATACCTACTCACACTGCTTTGTGAGAAGTGATCGAAATTCTGTTTCATACTCAAAACAGAAGAAAAAAAAATGTATAAAAAAATTAAAACCTTGTTGCATAATATATACTTAGCCAGCCAGCATCTGATTGAATTGTGAAGAGGAATTGGAATAAGAGGGTTTTAAATGTGGATAAGGATGGTGCATGGCGGATTTTTAATAGTATTATATACTTTTAGGTGAAAGGACAGTAAATCGCATACTTTTTTTTAACACAACTTGAGTTGAATCTCAACATATTTAATAATAAACACTCAACATAATTAATACTGACTTAAAGATTATTAAACAAGGATTTTTTTTCTAAAAGTTAGGTATCTGTAATATAGTTGGGGGGGTGGAAAAAAAAATCACGAATAATTCATGATATATTTAGATCTGAACTTAATTTAATTTACTAACTCAAAAGTCGTTTTTAAATGATTCTACCAATGACAAACTCAATTTTTATTTAAAGAAAACTTTATCTAGTTTACTGTGAAGCAATTTTTAATTACTTAGGTTAAATATATTTTTAATTATAGATTCCTATTCAGTAAAAAACGCGTCTTACTTAAAAAAATAAATAAATTTACGATTTGCTATTCCACTATTCTAAAAAAAAAATCGAACTATTGTTTATATACTTTTTTGTTACTCTTGAGGTCTGCTACCACACTTTTAAATATTTCTAGTGTCGAGGTCCTCAGTAGAATATTTAATGGTGGATTTCTATGGAAACCGCAAAGAGGTAAAGAAAACACTGCCCAAATAAAATATAATCTTATTCAAAAGTATGTTTCTATTTCATGCTTCAAAATAAATAAATTTTCAGACCGGAAATAAAACCAAAGACCGGAAATACAATGTAAAAAGAATTTGTTTGATGTTAAGACGGTGTTTTTACGTCAGACTCTAATTCATAAAACGGTTTCGACTTCAAGTTTATCATTCCTTTATTATGTTTCGATATCGATGTATATCAAAACATAAAACTATTAAACATAAATTAATGAATTTTTACGATTTATATCAATGTACATGACGGAGGTTAATATGTCTCTTTGTCCAAAGGGTTTCCGTTGTTAAGGGAGCTAAATTCTATAGCCAGTGGTACAGACCCCTTTTTATCAAATAATTAACATCCGCCTGAAACTTCGTAAATAGCTTCGCCTCATCGTGACCTACATTTTATTTACGAAAATTTTCGGAATTCTGATGTTTTCATTTTGGAGATCGGCAAACTTTATCTATTTAATCAGATATTAAAAACTCGTGAATACCCATTTGCTTTCCGCTTGAATCGTATGATAATTTGATCACAAAATCGAGAAAAACGGTGGCCATAAAAAATATTGGGCTATTTGGCGTGACCTATACCCATAACATGTCAAAATAACGAGGTTATGTAGCCCAAACGGTTCAATATTTTTGAAAGACGCCTTTTTTATTTATTTTGTGATCATATTATCTTATGGTTTAAGTAAAAGGCAAATGGGTATTCATGAGTTTTTAATACTTAATTAAATAGACATGTTTATTTTGTTTTTATTTTATTTATTCATGATATTTACAACTGTATTAAAAAATTAAATACATTAAGTAAATTTGATAACAGAAAATAATAACATGAAATGACTTGTTGAGAAACTACCCACTGGTAGCAGCACTCTAAAAACAAAATGTATTTACAATAAGACATCTCGAGGCCATCTTCTTTTCAGACGCCTCGGAGGGTTATCAGGAATAGAAGAGGAAGCAAGGGTAGAGACGAGAGGATTCGGATGGTTCTGAAGTTTATTATGGAAGGATTGGTATCTGGATTGGACCAAATCGGAAACATAAGGAACATTAAGGTCATTATGGATTATTTTATTGGTGACAAAGTAAGGAGCATTGAGGATTTTCCGAAGGATTTTGGATTGTAAGGATTGGATACGAGAGGAATTCGATGGCTTAGTGGAGCCCCAAAGCTCAACTCCGTAACTCCAAATAGGTCTTATTGTAGCCATGTATATAAGTCTTTTGTAATTAATTGGAAGCTTAGAGCGTTTGTCTAGTAAGTGTTGGAGTAGTCGGAAACGTCTGGTATGAGGATTCCAAGTTAGACGTTTGTCCAAGTGAAGTCCAAGGTATCGGATTTGTTCAACAGTGTAAGTGGGGTATTATTAAAGGATACTGTGGGACATGAGATCATAGGTTTACGTCGAAGGGTAAAGGTGATTTGATGGGATTTATTAGAATTTATTTTAATCCTCCAGTTTTGACACCATTCTTCAAGGCTTATGATGTGCGATTGAAGAGTTTGGGATGCAATGGTTGGGTCATTATTAACGGATAGGACACATGTGTCATCGGCATACGTGAAATAGACAAGTTAGATAGATATTTGTAGGTTATGATGAGATGAAGCTATTTTCGAAATTTCAGGCGGATATTAATAATTTGATAAAAAGGGGCCTATATCTCGTACTACTATACTTTCAGACCAGATCATTTGAAAATTGTCTGTTGGGGAGAGGTATTTGTTAGGAGAAGTTTACCTTGCATAGACATAGACATTTTTTTTTTTTTTTTGTCATTGATCCTTATTTACTTGTGTGAGTTATATAAGCTAAATACTTAAACAATTACAATATGTGATCTTTTTAAACTATAACGTATATCGTCACTGTTAATACATAAGTTAGTTTGTAAAAATTGAGTATTTTTTTACAGAACAGCATAAAAAAACAATTATATTTTATTTGCTTCATCCATTCCCCTAATTAGCAGACTACTTATAGCAATGGCAGACCACAAAATGTCAAATTTAACACAAATAGAATAAACATGTAAATTTGTTATATAAATTTTGCACTAACAGTAGCGGTATAACCATTATTATTCCTGTTATTGTTTTTTTTTTTTTGCCCTTAACTTGGCTCTTTCTCCTATAACAATTGGGGAAGAGGGCGAGGGATCAAAGAAAATTTAAACCTTCCGGAGCCGGTAATCGACCTTGTAAACTTCAGTTAATTAGATTAACGAGTAAAGCGTGTTTAGTATTTGTTTTTGTTTACACTCCTTCAAGGGCAATTTAAACATCATTTTGTATAGTTTTTTTATTTTTCATCCAGAATGATTACCGTTAAAAAGTCCCCAAAATAAAAATCCTTGATCCGATATTTCAGTAGGCTTTGTAAATAAAATAAATACAATTAAAATCTTCATTTCACAGCCCTTGTGAATAAATTCACCAACATTTGATGACATAAAAATACAACTTTAATGATGATAAAATCCTTAAAGAATTCACTGACTTTACTCTAACATCAAACTTATTAATTCAACTGAAATGAACCAAATATATGGTCAGGAATAGTTATTAAGTAATGTATAACAATTGTTGTTTAACGATTTTGATTAGTTCTATAAATAATTTTATATAAAAGTTATAAAGGTCATTTCTTTGTTGTTTCATTTAATCATTGCTATAATGTATACAATATAAAAAATTGATGGGAAACACCTTCTAACACAATGCCAGTTTTTTTTTCTACTTTTTCTTACAGTGTAATAGTGGTTAGCTGGGAAATCCAAGTTTTTTTCTTTTGTTGTTTGTTTTCAGTTGTTGGTTACTAATACTTCTGTAATTAGTCTTTTTCATGAATGAACTGTTGCAATACATTGATACAATTTTCAATAATCAAATTATGTTAGTAAATAAGCAATTTTAGAATTATTGAAAATAACTAATAAATAAATTAAATATGAATAAATAAAAAATAAGTTATATTTATTTTATATCCTTTGTGCCAACATTTCCGATTAAGTTTCATGACTTAATCATGATGGTTCTCATGAAAGGTGCTGTAAGACAGACAGTTGACTGAAGGCTTATAAATATTTTAGGCTTATAAAATATTTTACTTACTAGTTCATATTGTGGCATTTTAGTATTTGCATTCCATCTGTAGAGCGTTTTTATTACAATGCACCGTTGTATTTTTTTTTTTTTTACATTTATTTATATATTTTATATTTATTTAAGGATATTTTCTTCATAAGTTGAAATTTCTCTCAAATTCTTCACTTGGTTTTGCCTCCTCCATTCCTCCCTGTCCATCGCTTCATCTTCCATTAGTCCTCAGCCTGCCATACTCTCAGCTGCATCTCTCCACCTGACACAAGGAGTTCCTCTCCTTCTACCCTTGGTCTCCTACTCAAATGCCATTTTGAAAAGTCATTCACAATCTATCATTTTAACATGACCATTTCAATTTTCTTTCTTCTATTATCTCTGGTACATTCTTTCTTAATTAAGGGTTATTTTCCTCTATATTAACATTCCTAATTGAAAACAAACAAAAATATTACCTGTTTATTCATTAAAAACAATAGACCAATCCAAAGCAGAAATATTTTTAGATGAAAACATGAAAAATGAAAAATCAAGTGGGTGGAATTTTTTGCCTGTCAGTGTATATATATATATATATATATATATATATATATATATATATATATATATATATATATATATTTCCTATATTATTCCTGGGAATCTTTTACTTTTCTTTATAGATTTTCCTATTCTCTTAATATTTTCCTTAAAGTTTATTTATTAAGTTCCGATTGCAACTAAATAGTCTCTGTATTTACCATGATTGCAATAAATTGTGCTGAATTCTTTATTTTCTTAAAAAAATTGCTTTATATTTTTCAAAAATAAACTGTTAATTGTTTTCTAAATGAAATTGAAAATAAAAAAGAGTACTTTTCTGTAAAATTTGTATTATAATTAACTGTTCTAATTGTTTGTTAATTTCATTTAAATTTAAATAACTAACAGTTTATATATCAAATATTATAAAGATTACGGTTTAAATTTCTCTTATACTTAATTTTTTTTTATTTTAATAGATTTAATTTTAATATTATCATTATTTTTTCTTATAGTGTCTTAACCATTACGACTGCTGTGGAAGTAAAACTGTTTGCAGAGTTCTTCCTGGAGACGATGGACCTTTCAGTATGGCATTCAGGTAAAATAATCATGATCAGCTATTTATTTATTAATCATGTGATTTATAATAAACTAGGATGTGTTAACATTTGGTTAAATCGTTAGATTGAAGTTTATTTATATGCGCATGTTTTGCTTAACGAAACATCTTCTCTTTCGATCTAGACTGGTTTAGTTAAGTGTAGAAATGTAGTCTAGAAGAGGAGATGGCCCCGACAGTTCTATAATTTTAAGTTAATATATTAATACCTATAAACTACGAGCCTTGAACCGTTTCGGATTCTGTATACTGAAAAAATGTAATGTTTCCAGGTTAGTAGTTTGGGCAAGGTGATAATTAGGCCGAGATCATGCTCAACGTCTATGTTATTATGTTGTTATTCCCCTCAAGTAATTGATTAATAAAGAACAACCACTTTATCGTGTATACTACAGGGATTTGCCGCCCCCAAAGTCGATCTATAGCTGATGTAACAGAATAAATATTGATGTACGTTAGCCAAACTTTAACCCGGGATCTGGGAGATATGAGGACATTCCTTAGTCATTGAGCGATTCCACTCAATAAATTATTACGATTAAAAAAAAAAAATTGAATTAAAGAACAAAATAAATCTTAATGAACTAAACTTTCAATAATTTGAGAATAATGATAAGCTTTCTGTAATCATATTCTTCAATGTTTGTTCAGGAATCGTCAGTAAAAACTGTGAAAGGAATTAAAAAGCCAAAAGTCAATGTTTTCTGTAATAAGCCAAGAACATTCTATTCCTTCAAAAATACACCAAACCAACTTAAAGTAACTGTACTAATTCGTTAGAAAAATCTTAAAAAGTGAGAATTTAGTTTTGGATAATATTTATAGGTTAACAAATAAAACATTGAGGCCCATCACCTAATTATTATCAATGAACAAATACAGTAATAATTAATGATTCCCTAAATTGGAAGCAGAGAAAAAGAGTATTTTCAGATGCATATGTGATTAAAAATAAAATAATTATAGGCTATGATAATAACAAATCATTAATTATAATTTCATTGGTTTATTACAATTCATTAAGTGACATTTCATGAATTCAAATCACTAAGAACTTTGAGGAATTTCCCCTTTGTAAAATCAGAAAATTGTGGGATTGTTGTTACTATATTTGATAAATAAAAGAGTTTGTATAATATGATATAAACTGTTTTATTTATCAAATATACTTACACGCTCAGTGTTTTTAATAAAAAATAAGGTCAAATTTACAAAAACATTCTTAAAATTTCAGGTTTATAAAAATTACACTTGATGATTTTTTGCAATAAACTGTCAATTTTTTTATTTAATTCTCTTACCTTGTATTGATTCTTCTTTTTTCATTTCAGATGCGATGAAGATGATGGAAGAAGACTTTATTATGGTTAAGACTGGTGATTCTGATGAACCGTAGACATTTAAAATTGAATTCACAATGTCACTGTTTAACCCTTTTCTTTTTAACCGCATCTCTGTATAAACATGAACATTAATTGGCAATGATTAAAAAACTTTATCCGAAGCAAAATAATCATGTATCACAAGTAGCCAAGCAAAGTTGGTTCGTAACTTTGTTTAGAAGGAATATTTATCATATGTAAACCAAATTTATAATTGGTTATACAATAAGATGAATAATGTTTAAAAGTTTTAAAGAAATGCTGTTCATCGATATTATTTTAAAAGAAAACTATTCTGAAATAATCATAATTAAGCATCCATAAATGATCTATATGAAATGTAACAGAACACCAGTCTAAACGGAACTGTATTCATCATTAAAAGAAAAAGTAGTACCATATCATAAAGGAGAATATCCTAATATTACAATTAAATTACAATATCTTTATTATTTTTGGGATTTACAAGTTTTTCTGTTTGTTTTAAAATACAGTCTATATTCACAGTTCTGTATCTATCGGGCTACTTTTTCTTTTAATGTGTTATATGTAAACTGTAAGACTGATATAGTAATTTAAATATAAGATGCTGTGATAGACTTAAAAACATTCATTCGAAAATTATTACAGAGAAGTTTTATAATTATATTTATTTGTATTTATTAATATTTTGCATTGAAGTTATTATGAACTATGATTGTGAAATTCATGAGTAATTAAGTAGATCTGAAATGTAGAAAATATAAATTTTATATTTATTGAGTTGTTTTGTTTTCTGCAGTAACTTACCTCATCAATTTTTCTTTTTTTCGTCACAAATATTTTATGCAAGGAAATTTTGTCCTAGATAGTAACAAATTTTAACTAGGACACAATGTTGCACATTTGTTACTTTAACATGGTGTCGACGGAATATACTAATCTAAAGATTTTTTAGTTAGTTTTGATATATCACTCATTAAATTATTTGCTCCAAAAAAATAAATTCTGCTTATACATGACAGAAAGAATACTAGGAGTAAAGAAATAGTGTTTTATTATATTTTGTCTTTAAAAAATATATAAAAATACACCTAACACATTGCAGAGTAATATACGGAGTTATCAACAGAACAAAAACACAGTAAACTTTGAAAAGTCGATTGCAAAGACTCTGGTTAATGAATATGTTGTGATTTTATTTTTAAACAACATATTAAAATGTAACAAGGGAGTAAATATTTAAGTAATTAATGTAAATTCATGTCTAAATATAATAGAGAGCAAAAAAGAATTAAAGCATAGATAAGTATTGTAATGCAAACCAACATATTAATAATTTTAGAATAACATCTTACTTCTAAATCAAAAGTTGAAGTTTAGTAAATCTGCTGAAAATATTTTTCGGTTATAGCTTCTTAAATTTTGTAACTTATTACTTTTAGATTCAAAAATGTACTCTCCTTTTACTATATTTTATTGATGAAATATATATTTCATTCTCTTATTATGAAATTAAACAAAATCAAATCAAAAAAGTACTGCATAAGGGGACAAATTTCCCCTTATATAACAATAGTGTATGAAATATTGAATTTCTTTTTACAAATATATGAAATAAAGTTAAATTGAATAAGATAATGAAATAATTTTCAAGTATTCACATGATGTAATGATTATTCGATTGTTATTGAACAAAATTTACTGTTATAAATTATGTTATAATACAAATAATAATTTTGAGTTACCTTTTTGTTTAATGATAATCTTTTAATTAAATAATTTTAGGTTTTTTTAAGAACCGGTATAAATCACGGTTTAAGTTTTCAACACGAGCACTATCTAGCGCCCGATACGCTAAACTACTTATGCTGCTGCTCTTCCCTCCATTTTCTAACTAAAATCCCGCAGTTTTGTTGAAGAAATAAGAGTTTTATCGATTTATTCATAATTATCCTCTCTTCGTTATTAAATTAATAATTAAAAATTTATATTTCATAGGTAATCTTTGGGGAGAAAAATTTATTCTACATCAAATGGATTGATTTATGTTCTGTTTGGTAGTGAGGGGGGGGGGGAGAATTCTCCAAAATGAATTTTTTTATTTATTGTCTATAACCTGAAGGTGCGCTTAGACATTTCATAAACTACAGGAAACACATTTATCTAACTTAACTAACAGTGGCATTAGTGATAAATAAAATTTATTTTATTTTTCTTGATACCAACAGCAAATGGGAAATATCAAAAACAAGAAATAAAAATACTAACATAGTGGAATTACCACTTTTATATTTGTTTGACCTATAGTTTGTGAAATTTCTAAATGCATCTTTAAGCTTCAATGACTTAGAATCTGTTGATGAAATAAATAACTGCCAAATTTACCTTTAAATACATTTTTAAAAAAACAAATGTTTCAATTTTTTATAAATAACTTTTTTTTATGTTTTATTATTGAAATTTACAACTATATTAAATGATAAATACAACAAATAAATATGAAACAAGTAACATGACATGTACAACATGAAGAGAAACTACCCATTGGTAGCACTCCAATTATATTTCTATATTAGAAGGTCCCGAGGCCATCTTCTTTTCAGACTATCTATCAGGAATAGAAGAGGAAGCAAGGTTAAAAACAAGAGGGTTCGGATGGTTCAGAAGTTTATTATGAAAGGAGAGGTATCTGGATTGAGCTACATCGGAAATATATGGTACATTAAGGTCCTTATGGATGATTTTATTTGTGACAAAGTAGGGAGCATTAAGGATTTTATGAAGGATTTTGGATTGTAGGGATTGTATACGAGAGGAATTTGATGGTTTAGTAGAGCCCTAAATCTCGATCCCATAACTCTAAATAGGCCTTATTATAGTAATATATATGAGTCTTTTGTAAGTAGTTGAAAGTTTAGAGCATTTGTCTGGTAATTGCTTCAGTAGTCGAAAGCCTCGGATGGTTTCTATTTGTTTGAGTCTGATATAAGTGTTCCAAGTGAGTCGTTTGTCAAGGTGGAGTCCTAGGTATCGCATTTGTTCAACAGGGATAAGTGGGGTTGTTAAAGGATACTGTAGAACAGGAAGTCATAGGTTTACGACGATAAATAACTTTTATTTTATATTTTAACGAATTATTTAAATGATTTAAAATTGTGATTTAATAATTATTTTTTCAATCATAGCTAGTAACGATTGTAGTGTAATGGATTGACAAATTTAGGGAACACTAAGGACTTTGAAACAGTCTCTTAAACTATACTAATTGTAAGAGATTTTTGTAGAACTACTGAAAGATACACATTTTATGTATTGTATATTTTATTATCACATATTAACTAAACTAACAAGTGATTAAGCAGATACAAGGGGGATACAGAGGGAGAGAGGTCACATACCACATCCCGTCCCCAAAAGAAAAGGGAATTTCAATATTTGGAATAATTTTATATTAGGATAAAAGCACCAGTACCTGATATACTTAAATTTTGATTTCATTGTATTTGTTTTTTAATTCGCCTTATAGATCCACGTCTCACCTCGCCAAGGCAGATCCAATCCATGAAACCTTCGTCACTATTTTAAAAACAGTAAATTTAGAGGACAGTTTTGTTATGCCAGTAGCTGACACTGATTTATTTGAAATTTTCCTATAGCTGACAGGGATGAGTACAAGCATGTACTTATGCAAAATATCTATTTCATCTTATCATAGAACTAACATTTTGTGTTTCCTGATTTCAATTTACTGGTAAATTCTGTCAAGAACCTGCAATAGGAAAATTTATTTTTGCATTGTAATTAATCCATATCACTAGCAACGTTTTTTTTAACAAAAGGGTTGTGGATGATCCATTTTTAAAACCCGTTATTTTGAGTATAACTCTTGAATTTCTGAGAGTACCAATTCTTATGAAGTTATTTTATATTTTGAAACTCATTTCCCTTAAACGGAAACACAAAATCATCACGAATGACCCAGAGAAAGAGTTTAATTGTGTTATTAATAAGTTTAATTTTTAATGGATTTTCTTGTTGTTTATATTTAAAAGATCTTGAACTTAGTCATCTATCAAGTACATATATATTGTTGAGAATGTTATTTTAATTTAGTTAATGGCAATAATGTTGATTGATAGTGCTAATTTAGAACAATTTGTTTTCTGTTCAGTTTGAGTTTAGGTAGACTTTAAATTATATAATACATTTTTTAAGGACTTCCCTACCTAAATTAAAATTAAAAAATTGTCTTAGTTTTCTTTGTAGTTGTATCATAATAGATATCATTGACCATGGTTTGGATTCCATGTAAAACAGTGCAATTGTCTTAGCTGCAAACTATAAGGAAGTTAAACACATATAGGGCCATTTTAGGGATAAACCCCTGAAACACACAAAAAAGTGAGAAAACAAATTTTAATATTTAATAATATAAAGAGATGGATCTTTCAAAGAAACAAAAACAAAGTATAGACTGTCATATAAGAGAAAATTACTTTATGTAAAAGAAAAAGCAAGGTGCATTACTGACGTCAACATCAAGTAATACTTTTGAAGTTTCAAATAATTTATTTACTCAAAATAAAGACATTTAGATATAAATCACATATTGCCAGTTTACTGCAAAAATCATTAAGTACATTTTTGATGGAGCAGAACTTTTAAGAATGTTTTTGTGAATTTCTATTTTACTTACACATTAAAGTACACCACAATGACAAAAACCATTTCATATATCCGATATAGTACCAAAAATGCACAATGTTCTGATTTCACAAAAGGAATATTCATTAAAGTTCTTACTTGTTAAAGGTTATGAAACATCACTTAATGACTTTCAACCCTCATTTTCACCTCTCTTTAAAATTTGTATTTCCTTCCCCAAAATGCCTATCGGAAGCTGGATGGAGTCGGTTGGACTCTAAACACTATTGGATAAAGAACTTATTATGTCATGTCTGCAAGCAGCTTTCTAGTTGCCTCCTATCTGTGGAAGACAAAGCACCAGAGAGAGAAACGGTGTCTTATTTTTCATTACTGTACTCCGTAATACACATAACCTGAGACTAACTAAAGACATCAGACTCCATTTTCCATCCATTATAAGAACAGTCTATTCCGACAGACAGAATCTTTCTGTCATCCATCGTTTTCATTTTTTAATTACAGCATAGTCAAACTAATGAAAATCTTTTCCATAGCCTCTCACAATTATATATATATATATATATATATATATATATATATAACTATTGACTAAATAGGAGTTAATTCATTCATCATGAACTCAAGAGGAAACCCAATGAAAATATGATTATCGTTGTTTGATCATCTTGCTTATGAGAAATAAATTATTTTATCAGTAAAAAAATGTATTTGGGTTAGAATCTTCCTCCTACAGAACCAATGCAAACCAGAAAAATAAAGTAAAAAGAAATTTATCTTTGTAAGTTTTCTCCGAGAATTTAATGGAAAACCGAAGCTAGGCATCACTAAATGCAACAAAAAAAAAAAAAGAAGAAAGACCAAGGCTTACAGGACTTGAAAATAATCTCATTTTCCTAGCCAAAGCATTTTTATCAATTTAAGTTATCTCTATTTCTGTATTATAAAAAAATAATTAGCTATAATTCTCGAATAATGTAAATTCTTTTACCACATTACTAGTGGAGGAAATGTTTTAAATCCGTAGATTTATTGTGCATCATAAATAAAAATATTTTCAATACATTATTTCTGATAAGTTATTTATAATGGTTATTTTATTAATATCTTTATTGTATAAATTATTTTTTTTGTAGTTATACCATACTTTCGTTGATCTTTAATCTTTAGGACAATAATTGAACTTATATATAAATACACAAAAGTGGTTAGTTTATATTAGTAAAAAATATATATATATATATATATATATATATATATATATATATATATATATATATATATATATATATAACAATAGAGATAAAGAGAGAGATGAAGAAAAGGAAAAAAAAAAAAGCATGAACAATAAAAGAAAGAAAAAAATGTATATACCTTATATATATACCTTTTTTTTTTTCCTTTTCTTCATCTCTCTCTTTATCTCTATTGTTTTCAATTTTTCATTAAATAAATACATAAATTAAAACTCTCAGCCTAGCCATGCACGTGGTGGTGAATGATTCCCAGGGAGTCGAGGACTATATTTTCAGCCAACCTCGCTACGTCCTTAATGTCAACACCTAGTTCCTCGAGGAAGCTCCTCGATAATATTAGTTATAATAAAGAAATATATTATAAACATAATAAAGAAAATACGTTATTTTTCATAATCTTCCCAAGTTATGGAAGAAGATTCCCAAGTGATTCATAAAACAATATACTAGTATCAGACAATTTGTATTAATTGAAAAATTGAAGTGCCAAACTATTCAAGACATTTTGCAGGACTCAAAAAAAGATGTAGAAACCTTGATGGATTTTTGAAAAAAACAAAATAAACAAGATTTTACAACAGAGTGTAAAAGACCAAAATGCAGACAATAATTCACGATGATCCTATTGATTAGAGGTAACCTCAATAAACAAATTGAAAAATTCTGATCATCTATTTTATTTTTAATTTTTAAAAGATGCTATAGAACAAACAGGCAACTATCTTCTCCCTGGCTTATCAGAGACATGCCTTATCAGCTACCTAGTAAACTGAAGAATTATATACAGTCTATAAAACTTTACAGCTTAGCAACGAGGCGACGTAACAATCATAAATTCACTCCATCTTCAGCCCTACTTTGAAAAGCGTTGCATAATGAGCTGTAAATTTTCTTGTCACCTTTTAACTATTTCTTTAGGATCATTCTTCTACTTATCCTTGGAGTTAATTATTTAAGTATAAAAAGAAGTTAATTTTTAATTTTTAAATCAGTAAAAAACTCACCAAGAGACAAAACAAAAATGTTAGGCCATAATTGGAAAAATTCCAACCACACAGCCTTATGTCTCCAAAATGCTTGTTAAAATAAAAAAAAACATCTATGTTTCGTCAATTTAGGCATCATTAGGACAAAAAAACATCAGATATATGCAGAAAGAAAAAACAAAAACAAAAAGAAAGAAAAAAATGGATATCTCATGACGCCATCCAAAATACATCCTTTCTATGTCTATAGCAACTTTTTTTTCATTACCTTTTTGTTTTTTCTTTATACATTCAATTTATTATTATATTTTTTCAAAAATCCATCAAGGTTTCAACATCCTTTTTTGAATATTGAATATTTTGAAAAAATATTTTAAAAAGTATATTATCTAAGGTTGTTGGAGTTTGAAAGCCTAAAACTTCGACGTCATTAACACCTGTGTTTAATTTTGTTTATCTGAATCAGATTTAAATTTCATGTTTTAAATTTTGTGTAACAAATTGTTTAATTATGTTTTTTCTGTCCTGATAATGCCTGAATTGGCGAAATGTTGACGGGTTATTTTATTCTTTACCTGTATTTCGGAGACATAAGACCACAAAAAACTGTGTAGTTGGAATTTTCCAAATTATAACCTAGTATTTAATTATGTTACATTTTATCCATATAAAATTCAAAGTTGATTAATCGTTAACTTCATTAATTTAATTAATTGGTCATTGATCCGGATGAGCGAATTGAGAAGAATGAGGATGAGAAAAGAAAGAAAACAACAAATGACATTTTTTTATATACAAAGCATATCAAGCTGAAACGTTTTACTAGATATTATCAATCAGATGGATTAGAATGCTACATTAGTTAGCAGCTCAACACAGCAGAGCAGCATTATGATTTTATTGTAATATGAGAACATATTTTGATTTAGATATACGATAAGTGATGTATGAAACACTTTTTTATTATTACTATAACATTCTCTTATTATGAAATTTACAAAATACCTTGTAATACTTTTTAATTAAAGTGATCAAACATTTAAAATAGAATCACTAAATTAATATAGATATTTCATTCCAATTATTGGATGATTTCATTAAAAAATGCTTTACCAAATTACATTTCCAGTTACAAGAAGTTAAAGATGCAGTAGCTTTCAACATTGAAACTCCAATATCACATGTAGGCTGTAACTTATGCAAGATATTTTAATGTGAATTTTATTCTATATATATAACATTTAGAAATCCCATATCCACCCTAGAAACATGTAATTTTTAAAGCTCTGCAAAAGAGGTGATAACTCTATCACTTGTACTTTAATTGGGAATTGCAATGTGGTTTTCCAGGAAGTCAATAAACATGAGCTTTGGATGGACTCATCGAACTTACAGATTCAGTCTATGGATGATTTCTTCCAAAGAAAGAAATAAAGATCCTCGTGCACCTGCAGACTTTGAGCATCCATAACCCTTCTATATTATGATAAATGTATTATTATATATGTAGATTTTTTTTTTTATTTTGTTCACTATTGTTATTCTGGGGGGACTGTGCCCCAGAATAAAGTTTATTTTTCTATTCAATTCTATCCTAACCCATGAATCTAGAAAGATTTATTACTGTCCTTAAACCAGAGAGAGGCAGTAGGACTTTTTTTTGGTGGGATGTGCACTGCTAATTGGTCCCAAAGGAATCAGCTATGGAGCTATGGATGACCTGCACCATTTAGACCATAGTCTGTAGCTTGAGTGATCCCCTTCAGGCTATCTGTGTTCCTGCAAGCAATATACTTCTGTAAGAAGACCACATTTGGCAGTCAAAGATCTATATCCTCTATAGTAACAGCCAAAAAAAAAAATTAGTAAACAATTTTAGCACGTTATCTGGGGATTGTAAATGCATGCAACTTGAAATTTCATACAAATAAATAAAAAATAAGTTTAATTATTTTATTACAACCATGAAAATCTAAATAAGATAAGAAATATGCTCATCTATCTATTTTAAATATTTTAGCCATATTTTGTGAAAGTCAATTCAGGAACAATCTCAGGGATACAAGATTTAAAATTTTCACAGTATTTGACATAAATATGAGTTAATATTGTTATAATTATAAAGAATAATATTTATCTCTTATGATAATAATGGAGGAATAAAAACAGAGTTACAAAAATATATAAAAGAAAAAAGTATTATTTACAAAGTCAAAAATTAATTAGACGCCAATAACTTAATAAATATAACACCTATTGTGATATTCTTGTATACAACTTTTATTCACCTGATTTGTCTTGTTAAATATTTAACAACTCTGTTTTATGCTTTATTTATATTAAAATGCACTATTAATAACTCCACACTATTTCAGAGTTTATCTTAAGAGTACAAGATATAGTTCTCTTAAATTCTACCTATTGCAACACACTACTCCAAAGGTTTATAAATTTATTAGATTAAAAGTAAATAAAGTTAAAGATATATTGCAACTCTTTTGAAAACAAAACAAGGAATCTTATACTATATTATCAGTATTTATTGTACAATAATATTTACATAATAAGACATATTTGAAATAGCTTTTAACATTTTAATTAGGACAATATTTCTTATACAGAATTAAAATATACCACTGATATATATTATCCCACTTGTACAGATTTTTTTTTAATATATTAAAATTCTTCTTTCTGGAAAATAATTTACCTTTCAAACTGAAAATTCATTTCATATTTGATAGATGACGTTTTGGACGTCATATGTACTTTTCAATTACAAATCTAAGCTTGTCATATATTTAAAAATGTATCTAATCTGTAAATTAAATTTTAATACGTAACATTACTTCAAATTTACAGGCTATTGCCTTCCGACTTAACCTGCATGCTCATAGATGAGACTTCCCAACATTGTTGTAAATCAGTGGTAACCAACCTTTTATTATGTGTGCCAGAACTTAGACTCCGTCAATGCAGCATACCACAAGTGCAACCACTCTTATAGCCTAGCAATTTTACAATAATTATTTCTATACAACTTGGGGTTGTATAGATCCTTGGCGGGAGGGGGAGGAGAGAGGGAATGCAAGTGACTTTTTAGTATTAGAGGCTGCAGTAAGGTTGGACTTTACTGTTGCTATTTTTATTTATAAGTAAATACAAATTAACTCAAAAGGATAAATGGAATCTTCACTCTCATGGAATTTAACTTCCCCTGGCTGAAGGAGAAGATGAACTATCCCTTCTTTTGAGAGCTCGTCTACTAGTGGAAGGAAGTGATAAACCCGTCGCTCTTGGAAGAGCCTCACTTCTTGACATCAGCAATCCACCAACAGCTGGTCTGGTTCCATCAATAAGGTACGCATCCTTGCACGAGTTGTACCACAGTAGATCTCTTCATTTGTTAAATTATTCCCATAGTTAAAGTATCTCTCAAGTTTTGTATAATAAGAATTATAAACAAATAAAGATTTTTATTGCCAGTAGTGGGCGTATATATTGACCCACTACTGCCGAGACTTCTTATGTCAGAAATGGAGGAAATAAGGAAAAAAAATATTATATACCTTTACCGTGACTAGTTTTCCACAGATAATTAAAATTCACTTTAATTCATAATTTTTAAAAACATAATTACATAAAGAAATTATTGAAATATTTATTTATAATACAAAATATGGATAAACCATACTCTAATAATTATATAAAAAGTCTTCATTGCATTGCCTTCTAGTCCGTTGCTGTAGAATCGCTGCAGAGGTTGAGCACGCCAATAAAGAGAGCAACTCCATGACAGTGTGGCTACTTATACTGTCGACGGATAGCTCTCTTGATAGCGCGTGCCCATTCGCTGTAACTTGGTGTCTTCATAATTATTTCCTTCTAAACTAAAATTAATTGGATGAATAATGTTTAGTTACCTCTGGACCTTGACATAGGGCAGAACTAATAGATGGACTCCTAGAATTTTATTATAATATCACAATTTAATTTATTAAAATGACAAAAGGAGTATAAATATAAACTTAAGCATAAATTAAATTAACTTAATATAATGTATTTAGATATAAAAAAAAATTGTATGGTAGTAATAATTTAAATATAATAAAATATGGAAATGCAAAAAAATTGTTCTGAAGATGAGAAACATACCACTAAAAGTCTATGATATTAAGATAATACAGCTATTTACTAATTAAGGAAATGTAGTTTGAATATATATAATATTATGTGGATCATCAATAAAACAGAAAAAAAATAAATAGTATGCAATTAAGTTAAGTCAAACCAGCTGTCAATCAACACATACATATTCTTTACTCCCGATTTCATATGAAAGTACTAAGACACAACAATAAACTTATAAACGACATGGCCACAATTGTCATGCTCAGCAGGAGGCGACCGAGAAAGAGCTGGATGAGGGATCTCCTTTTCTGAATTAAGGAAGAAAAAATTGGAAGAGGTCCTGCTGGGTACTATTCCTCACACTTAACATGAAATTTTCCAAATTCACAACAGCTCGTCTTCTTATGGTCAAATTAATGACAAGTGTGGATTTAGACATGAAGATAAAAATAAAACATCTGAATTAAAATATTCGTAACGATTACACTTTTTTTTATTTTATAACCAAAAAACTAACAGACTTTTAAGAATAATTATATTTCTTCAGGTATAACTTTGGTATTTCCAAAGCAAAAATATTCATCTAGTTAAAAAATGCATGATAGGAAAACATGAAAGAAAATTTCTTTCAGCATATTAAGATAAAAATAAAAAAGAGAAACAGAGGTTTATTCTCTGACTAATGATTTTTACCTTTACTAAAGATTTTATATCTTTCAGCATAGCAAGACACCTTCAGAGACATCGTCAGTTATAAAATCTGCAATTTAAAATAAATAAATTACTAATTATATCAATATTTATGACCAGTATTGTTTAAAATTGATGATAAAACAAGATCTTATAAACAAAAATAAATTAAAATTAAGAACAATAAGTGAAATGTCACAGAGAGCGAGTCCATGTGTTAATTAATCATAAGTATGTACTTTAATCTTTAATTGTCATGGTACCCGTTGGGCTAAAAATTTTTGTGATATCCTTGTTGGACTAAAACATTTGTGGCACTTTAATCGGACAAAAAAAATATCACGCTCGATTATTAATACAATCAAAACTTTACCCATTTTTAGTTCAATATATTATAACTTAATAAAACTTTCCCAGCTAAAATTTTAAATCTGGTTGATTCATTACTATCTAACTAATAATTTATGAATCAATAGAATGTTTTTTCATTAAATTGACAATTCTGACCTTAACTATTAAATATTATTGCTACAGAATCACAGATATATGCTTTCGACACATAGCTTAAGAACCTCTGTTTTAAGCAAATATGGAGTCTCAAATTAGGAAAGTGCTGCTAGATCCAAGGTAACAACGTCCAGTAATAATAGTAGAATTCTATATTTAAAAGTTTTTTGTTTATTAAAAAATTAAATATAAAATATTTGATATGATATTTAAAATATTTAATACTACTCAATCGATACGACAACCCATCACTTCAAGTAACTTCCACCAATTTAATTTGACAGTAACAGTTCTCCAATGTAACATGTTAATTATTTATTTATTTGTGCTAATTATTTAATGTAACAGTTCTCCAATTCCGAACTCCAAGCAGAGATTTAAAATATTTACCAATTTTAATTTAAAGCTATATTATATTTTAAAATGATGATTGAAAAGAAAAATTACAATATAAAATATTATAACAATAATTGAAATCTTATTGTATTTCATTATAATTAATAATTATAACTAATTTTAAAAGAAATAATCTTAGAATGCCATAATAGAAAATAATAAAAAAAGAGGTGGAAAAAATGATTTTATTCAACTGTCCTGGTAATATTTTACGACATCTAATTAAACCAGTTTAAAATGTTAATAACTTCAATAAGTAAATATATTACAAATGAAGATGCATTAATGTTGATATTGAATATTAACATTGTAAAGCTCTAACCTTTTGAAATGAAATCCATATTTGGAAAAAAAAAAAAAAATCAACCAGCAGATTTACTAATATTATGTTTGCTAACTTACTATGAACTAAATAACTGGCGCCCAATTATCAGTTTACTATCATTTTTACACACCTATTTTCTTTTTTTAACTAATTCAACTTATATTTTATATAATTTAACACAAAAATGTTCACTATCGATATTTTGATTTTGTCCCAAGATACCTAGATTTTCTAGGGCAGCACACTATAACCTTAAGGTCTGAAAAAGGGGAACAGCGACGAGAAGATCGCCGGATTACGGAAGTTCCTATAAACTGTGAGCAGTCCAATTTCAAACAAGGAAAATAAGAGCGAGCTGTGTACACAGCGCTATAATCATTGTAAACTGTAAACTTATTTGTAGTGCGTTTTTGTGCGGCTATATATAACATCTCACTCTTGCAAATATCCGTATTGCGCATAAGCAAGGCAGAGTAGAAAATAAAATAAATACATCATTAAATACTATAATATACGTATTTTCTCAATATTTTCTATGTTTGTCGTCAGAATCGTTAAAAATCCCCACATATATTATAGTAAGGCTCGAAATCGATTTTGTACGAAATATAAGCTCCTGTCATGCTGAAATACCATGAATGGGGTACCGTTGGATTCAGAATTTTACGGGGGGTTAGCGAATCGTATTCTTCACTTTTGTTTTTCTTTCTAAAATAAATAAAGTCGATACAAACATTTTGCTAGGCTTCAATACTGGAACGGTGGTAGGTCGATGCGGGAAAAATTGGACCTTGAAGATTTTGATGCGTACAGCAAGACCCGGATAGTTCCTCTGGAACTATCAGATCCTTCGGTTTTAAGCCAAAAAACATACTTTCGTGATAACGCAAGGCATAGTGTTCGCATCCACACAACCTTACATTAATTGTAGTACTGTTATTGAATACATGTCTCATTTCGTCGACTTGAGGTCTCTATGTTCGAGAGAGGAGGGGTTCATATTATTTATCGATGGTGTTTTTGATCGGCAAGCCATATCATCGTTAATTTTTCACCAAATCTGAAGATTGAGCCACCAATTTCGAAGGCTTCCTTCTCCTTTAGGCGGGCAAAATAGTCCAATCACCAATTCAGGCAAACAAGTTATGAAAGAAAACAAACTTTATTTGCGAATAACTAAAAAATTACACCTTTTCCCTTGGTTATGCCCATGATTATGTAAAAGATTACTAAATTCCCTACCAAATGAAAATCATCAAAATTGGACAATTTTTAGCAAAGATCTGTATCTGAAATTTGTAAACATGTTGGTTCCAAACAAAAATGAAGATTTAAATTAATTTTTGTTTTATTTGTCAATTATATTCATCGATAAAGTAACATTTGATTTCTTTATCTTTTGATACGTTGCATTATTTTATTTTCTTATTAATTTGGCATTTAATAACAATATGCTGTGCGAATTTTTCGCACGAGCCTACTAGTAATTAAATTATTACCTTTATATTGATACTCTGATTTTAATGAATATTTTTGTTTATAAAAAAAACCTAATAAAGTCCTTTTAAATTAACTGATTTCAAATATTTTAATATGGTTCATTTAAGGAAATAAATTTTAAAAAAATATATAAAGTACTTCAGGCCAAGCTGTAAAGGTTTTTTTCATTTATTCTCCGCAGACTCATAACGAACTCCAATTGTCTTAAGAGAATTGGGCAAGAAGGGAGGAGGTTAGCTACTCAAATGGCGCCCAACAAAAGCGCTAATATATGCTATGAATATTTATCTGACTATAGCTCAACTAGTTTTAACAATAACGAGAAAGAGTTGGACAAACAGACAAAAACGGTTACGAAACACGGTTACTAATTTCTAGGTCTTGCTCTCTTTTCCAGCATAGTAATGTTCTTCCGCCTTCTGTAGTTACGAAAACTTGAATACTTTAGATTTAACTTGTTGGATACTGAAACAACCCTAAGATAAATTGCGTAATCGATCTTAAAGCAAAAGAGTAAGGTCTTATCTAGGAGCTGCAGTGGAGCCCATTCACTCAAGATTGATGGTGTATTAACCAATTCTCCTTCCCAGGACATTTTATCGGAGAAAACGGACTAATTCCGAATTAGTGAAGCTGTATGGGGATACCGATGAGGCCAACTTTATTAAAGTAAGTCGCGGCAGATGGGCTGGGTATGTCATTAGAATGCCTGAGGTCCCAAAATTAATACAATTGGAAAAATACTTAGCAAAAGAAGAAGAGGAAGATCAAGATTACGGTGGATGGATGGCGTAGCTGCGGATGTCCGATCCAACCACTGCTTTCAAAAATGGCAGCTGATTTAAAGAATATTAGGCAATTAACTTGAACTTCGAAACGAGAAATATATTACGAAAAATGCGGGAAAAGTTGTTATTTTTTAACTTATGTATATGGATTTTAACATGTAAAATCCAAAATTTCTAACTCGAAAAAATAAGAGAAAACTTTTTACAGCCGAAAAAGCCATATTTTTAGTTTTTCCACATACAACTGCTAAACGGTGCATCAAAGCGAAAAATGTATTCTTTATGAAATTAAAGAACGTTAAATTGGGCTTCGAAGGAGTACCTAAACTTAATAATTTGATCAAGTGGTATGGTAGAAAACTACGCTCAACGAACGCCGATTTTTACCAAATTTTAAATGGCTTTAAATGGCCCTGTAACTTGGATATTAGTTTATTAAGAGAAAAATCTCATAAGATCAAAGTTGTAGAGCATCAGCTCCGATAAAATTTAAACCACCCAACTTGAGTCACTTCATCCCCTTCTGTGCATTCCAATAGCAAAATTTATTGTTAAAATTAATTTTTAACGAATTATATTAATGAAAATACACATATTTCTGTATTACACCAGTAAGCGATTGAATAACGAAATTTAAGAATTTTCTAAGCAAAAAAAAAAATCGTTTTATCTTAAAATCTGATAAACTAATTTATCTCAGTTTTTTGGAGTATTTACTTAATTTTTTACAAGTCTTGATAAATTATTTAGTAGTTAAAACAGCTCAATTAAGATATTATCTTTTTCAAGATTTTTAAAATTGTTTCTTTGTAAAAAAAAAAACATTTTTGTTTTATTAGCAATTATTCAATTTGGGTCATATGTAATTCCATATTTCGCGATTCACAAGAGTTTTAGATAATATATTGCAATAGTATATGTTCAGTAGCGAATCCAGGATTTAATTTTGGGGGTGGGCTTCAGTCCAAACAATTTTTTTTCATATATATATATATATGTATGGATATACATAACAATAATTACTTTGGAAAAAAAAATGATACTAACTACATCTATGAAATGGTGTTTAATGTAATTGCACGAACAATAACACTTCAAGAGATAATGTTTTTTTTTAATTTTATACCATAAAACATGGTTAAATTTTACCATTTTGGGGAGATTCAGCACGATAGCCCCCTTGTAGATCCGCCTGTGTAAATGTTAAACAGTCATGGACTGATGTATTATCTATATTTGTCTTTTAATATATTTTTCTTAAGTTAGATCTTTCTTAAGTAATTGATCTAAGATGTACAATCTATATTCTTTATTTATCTATAATCATATTTTACAGTTTTGATGCCAGAATCAGTAAAAGAGTTAGTTGTACATTGGAATTTGAATGACTCAGTGTGATTTATTCAATCTTCCGATAGTATTATATTATGTACATATAAGGAATTATATTATTTATTATATAATTGTATTTGTAGAGTGCACTCTTCATGCCAATGACCTATTCATTTTTGACGGGACAAATTCAATTATTAATTGATAAGATAAAGATAGTAC